AGTCAGAAAAGGGTGTTGGATTCCCCTGCAACCATGTGGGTGCTGGGAATCAAACCCTGGTCCTCTGCAAGAGCAGACAGTGTTCTTAACTGCCGAGCCATCTCCAGCCCCTCCATGTTTTCATTTTAATACAGTACCTAGCGTATTATGTATCTAGACCAAAGAACAGCTAAGCAAAAGGTAGCATAATAAATAGCAAAAGAGAGGCCAGGCACGAGGGTGCATGCCTATATTCCCAGAACTTTTCAGGTAGCAGCAGAAGGATCAAAGAGTTCAAGGCCAATTGCCTGGAGAGATGGCTCAGGATTAAGACTGCTGTTCCTGAGGTCCTGGGTTTGGTTCCCAGCACCACATGGTAGCTAACACCCATCCTTAACTAGTTCCAAGGGATCCGAAACCCTAAAAACACAAAGGCCAGCTGGGCGTGGTGGTGCCACACCTTTAATCCCAGCACTGGGGAGGCAGAGGCAGGCAGATCTCTGTGAGTTCAAGGCCAGCCTGGTCTACATAGTGAGTTCCAGGCCAGCTAGGGCTACTGGGAGACGCTGTCTCAAAAAAAGACTGGGGGGTGGGGGTGGGGGAAGGCCAATTTCATTTACATAGTAAGTTTGATAGAATGTGTGAATTGCAAAAGGGCCACAAGCCTCATTAGGGAAAGCCATAAATCCCTTAAAGTGTCTAACTGGCCCTTAATTGGCAGCCTGGACTTGCTCAAGCCTGGCTCTGCTCACCCCTTATCAGTTGGTCACTCTCAAGCCTGAGAGAAAGTGTTTGTGGAGCCCACCTGTCTCCTCTAGGGCCTATATAACACTCCTGCCAGTTTCTGGGGAAATAAGTCTTGAGAAAGAGATCCTCAAGGACATCAAGCCCAGGCACTAATTCAACTCCCCCCCAAGTGCAGCTGTGTCCCACAACCCTGGTATAACCCCCCTCAGTTTCTTTGTCTAATTGTAGAAGCTTGGTTCCCGCGGACAGCCTCTACCTCTCACTGTTGCAGGTCTGGCTCTGTTTTCTTGTCTCCTATTTTTCTCTTTCCTTTTATTTTCCAAAAATGTAACAAAGTTCTAGGCTAGCCCACTACATAAAACCCTGTCCCATAACACCAAAATAAATAAATACTAAATACTAAAAGTGGGGATACGTAGCCAAAGACTCCAAACAGTCTTCTCAGAACAAAGGAAACCCAGTGAGCCTGGAAGGGTTCCTGGGAGAAGTCAAATGCAGAGGGAAGACCACATTCCAAGGAAGGGAGGGGCAGTACAAGACCTGGATCTCATGATATCAGCCTAGATGAGCTTTCTCAGGTGAGAAAGCTTGAGGAGCTTGTAGAACTGCTGTGCTAGAGTGTGAGAAGCAGGGCTAGGCCAGGGGCTGAAAAGAGAAAGACGACTAAGCCAGAATTCTAAAGAGCACAATGGAAGTGTGGCTCAGAGATGAATGGGGGGGCGCACCAGACAGATGGGGATGGACACGACAGAACCCGCACATAAGCAAAGATGATTAAGGTACAGCCTGCAGAAGAAGGATGCAATAAATGGTAGAGACCATTAGCTATGCATATAGGGAAAAAATAAATCCTAGTGTCTCCCAACACACAAACTCTCCAGCAGAGCCACATCCATGAGAGTAAACGTTCCCAGGTTGGCTGTCTGGGATGAACGTGCACAGGAATGCACATGACTTATCTTTTCCTGCTGTCAAGGAAGTTAAATTATTAAATTATTAATCAAAAGATTGCTTACAGCCAAGCATAGTGGCACACACTTGTAATCCCAGCATTTGGCAGATGGAGACAAAAGGATCAGTTCAGGCCCAGCCTAGGCTGTATGAAACCAAAATCAGGGGCAGGAAAGATGGCTCAGAGGTGTCTCACAACTGTCCATAACTCCAGTTCCAGGAGGATTTGATACCCTCTTCATGACTCCACAAGCACTGCATATACATAGTGTGCTTACAGGCAAGACACTCATAAAATAAAAAATAAAGTTGGGCATGGTGGCACACACCTTTAACCCCAGCACTCGTGAAGCAGAGGCAGGAAGACTTCTGTGAGTCAAGGCCAGCCTGGTCTACATAATGAGTTCCAGGCCAGCTGAGGCTACAGGGAGACCCTGTCTCAAAAATAAATAAATAAATAAATTAATTAATTAATTAACAGGCACATAAACAAACAGAATGGAAAGAACAAAGAAAATCACCCAGGCCTGCCTGGTCTACATAGAATTCCAGGACAGCTGGGGCTCAGGGAGACCCTGCTTCAAAAAGACAAAAAAAAATAATAATAGTAAAATAAAATAAAATAAGAAGAGATGGGGCTGGAGAGATGGCTCAGTGGTTAAGAGCACTGGTTACTCTTAACAGAGGACACAGGTTCAATTCCCAGCACCCACATGGCAGCTAACAACCACCTGAAACTCCAGTTCCAGGGGATTTGATGCTCACTTCTGACCTCTGAGGGCATTGCACGACATGGGTACGCTTACATACATGCAAGCAATACATCATACACATGAAATAAAAATTAAAAATGTAATTTTTAAAAAATAGAGAAACTGGGTGTGGTGGCTCATATCTTTAATCCCAGCACTCAGGAAGGAGGAGAAGGATCTCTGTGAGAACAAGACCAGCCTGGTCTACACAGTGATTTCCGGGTCAGCGGGGGCTACAGGGAGAGGCTGTCTCAAAAAAAAGAAAAAGAGAGAGAGATTAACTAGTAAATACAAAATAAACTTTCAGCTCTGGAGATAAAGTTCAGTGGTATAGCACCTATCTAGCCTGTGCAAATCCCTGGGTTCAATCCCCAGCACCAAAAAAAAAAACAAAACAAATTAAATCCTTTCAAGTACATCCAACTTTTCCTCCCTGGAGGTTTTTCAGACTGGTGGGCTCCTGCCTCCTGTACAATAGACACCTTCCTACCTTGTAAGTTTAGGCCCTCGGAACCACCCCATCTGAAGGAGCCTGGCTTGTGTCACTGACCGCATCACCCCATTTCTCTCCTGCTCAGCTCCTCTCACATTATCTTATTCTGTTTATTTTATGCCTGTCCTGCTAGCCTTCACCTCCAGGAGGGCAGCAACACTGGTAAGGCATAAGCAGGCAGTCCATGGGGCCAGCACACAATTTCTTTGTTTGGCTTATACCCTGTTTTTTTCCCAAAATTCAGTTCATTGGAGAATTTTTTTTTCAGTTTTTTTTTGAGACAGGGTCTCATGTAACCCAATCTGCCAAACCTTGAATTCATTTAGCTGATGGTGACTTGAACTTTTTCTTCTTGCCTCCACCTCCCAAGTGCAAAGTACTGGGGTGCATCACCAGATCTGGCAATTGTATTTTCTAATTATGAGTCTTTATATAAACATCAGCCTTTCTGGGAACACCTGAAGAAAGTCTAGCATGGTGGGCTGCCACTGCAGCCTCTAGCTCGCACATTAGCCCCCAGGGCACCCAGTTACATCACACTGGACTGTGTATTCTTTTATCTGACCTCCCTAACTCTAGAGGCCTTGGATCCAAGATCCCTGGTCTCCCATGACCTTTCACCAGAGGTACTAAGTGTTTCAACAAACAAACTGAGATATTGGCTGGGATGTAGTTCAGGGGTAGACTATCTAGCTCAGGTTTCCATGTGGAAAAATTAAAAGTTTAAAAATTAAAAGTTTAGCCGGGTGTGGTGGTGCACACCTTTAATCCCAGCACTCAGGAGGCAGAGGCAGGCGGATCTCTGTGAGTTCAAGGCCAGCCTGGTCTACATAGTGAGTTCCAGGACAGCTGGGGCTACAGGGAGACCCTGTCTAAAAAAGAAAAAAAAAAAAAAAAAAATTAAAAGTTTAAAAGTTAAAGTTTAAAAATTAAAAGTTTAAAGTAAAATGACAGAATAAGAAAGGTTAACAGTTTTGAAGGAAAGGCTGTCTACTTCCCTTGGCTCTATGGGACAAAGGACACCACACACACAAACACACTCGCAGAAACTTTTTTTTAAAAATATTATTTTTATTTTATGCTTATGAGTGTATTGCCTGCATGTAGGTAAGTGCACCCAGGTCGTGCAATGGCCGTCGAGGACAGAAGAGGCCGTCAGATCCCCTCCAACTGGAGTTACGACAGTTGTTAGCTGCCATGTGGGTACTGGGATTCGAACCCCGGTCTTCTGGAAAAACAACGTGTTCTTAACCGCTGAGCCACCTCTCCAGCCCCAGAAATATCTTTTCTTAGAGTAATTAATGTATATGAAAATGTTAGACTAGGTTATCAGTTTTAGAATCTATTAATCCAAATGATGATACTGTAAACGGTAAGCCTCAGGTCTTGATACATTTTTCTTTTTTTTTTTTTTTTTTTTTTTTGTCTTTTTGAGACAGGGTATCCCCGTAATCCCACTTGACCTGGAACTCACTATGTAGACCAGGCTGGCCTCACTGAGATCCGCCTGCCTCAGCCTCACTAGTGCTTGTGCTGGGATTAAAGGCGTGTACAACCACGCCCCGCCTGCTTGAAACATTATTTTATGTTGTGTAAATAAGAGTTGCCCTAAATCTTTTTCTGTGAATGAGTGGGCTGAAGGGCGGGTAGAACAGAGCCCAGATCTGCGGATTAACGGAGGACAGCCTCCAAAACCCCTCTAAATAACAACACTCAACCCTCACGCCAAAACCAACCCCTAGTACAAGCACCCCGACTGGGTCAACAAAGTAGAGCGTGCCAAAGGCCACACTGCGCAGGCGCGCTCAAAACCTCTGCCAGTTTCTCTAGCCCACCCCGCAGCTACCACCCACACTGCGCAGGCGCAAGGGGATCAAGTTGTCCCTCACCCTCCCCTCTGGTCAACAGGACGCCCTCTCGCAGCAAAGGCCTGTGCGCACGCGCGGCGCCTCGACTCCGCCCCCTGACCAATAGGAAGCGGTGGGTGCGGGCACCCGGGAGCCCGACGCCATGGGTGGGGCCAGGACGTGAGGGCAGCGCGCTGGCGTCACAGGGGCGGCTATATAAGTAAATACAGGCACCGCCCCTCTGCCCCAGTCACTGAGCCGCCGCCGAGGACTCAGCTGCCTCCCCCTCGCTTCCCGACGCTCCGTCCCCCCCGCCCGCCTTCTCCCGCCGCCGCCTTCCGCAGGCCGTTTCCACCGAGGAAAAGGAATCGTATCGTATGTCCGCTATCCAGAACCTCCACTCTTTCGGTAAGCCTGGGGAAGGTCGCGGCCCGGGTGGGGCCGTCGTCGGGGCCCCGTGAAGCCGCCAATGCCTCGGGTCTTCGGGCTGGAGAGAGGCACCTGGGCTCCGGGGAGGGAAGGAACCGGGGCCTACGTGCCGGGCTCGGCCTCCCGGTGACCGGAAGGAGCGGGCGGGAGATCAGCCCTTGGGCGGGCCCGGCGTCTCGGTGGCGCATTTACTAATGGCCCCCGGCTCTCCTCGGGCCACACCCGCCCCCTCCCGCCATCCTGCGTCATGTCCTCTACGTCACCGCCGTTGTCACGCAGCCGGGAAGGGAAAGGCGGTGCCTAGCCCTAAGTGACAAACCGTTGCGCCAATGGGGACTGGAGGCTTGGCCCCGCCCTGGGCGCCCGGGTTCCGGCCGGTTGCATCAGCCGGGTGGGGCGCTGCCGTCTGTCGGCCGGGGCCCCCCGGCACGTGATCGGTCTCGGAGGGAGGGAGGGAGGACCTAGGGCGCAGGGCCCAGGCTTCATCCGGCTCCCATGCCAGCCTGACTTGTTCCAAGAGGAACTGCAAAGGACACCTGACTCAAGCCCAGACTTTCATTACTGGCATCTTGTACGTCGAAAAATCCAGTGGGAGAGTGAAAGCTGAGCTACAACACCTGGGCGATCTTCATTTTTCTCCCCAGACCCCTTTGCTGATGCAAGTAAGGGTGATGACCTGCTTCCTGCTGGCACTGAGGATTATATCCATATAAGAATTCAACAGAGAAACGGCAGGAAGACCCTTACTACTGTCCAAGGGATCGCTGATGATTACGATAAAAAGAAACTAGTGAAGGCGTTTAAGAAGGTAGGTCTGAAGCGTGGTAGAAAAAGCACGCTTGATTTGTCCACAAGGGGTGCCAAGGAAAAGGGCTTAAGTTGTGGCTTCATTTGTTCTCCATACTTGCAGAAATTTGCCTGCAATGGTACTGTAATTGAGCATCCAGAATATGGAGAAGTAATTCAGCTACAGGGTGACCAGCGCAAGAACATATGCCAGTTCCTGATAGAGGTGAGTTCCAGCCTGTTCTTGGATGGCAAATCTCAACTGATAGTTTCTGCTGCCATCACTGGTGTGTTTTGGGAGGTTAAGCCCGGTAACAGGATTTTTTTTTTTTTGGAGTACATTGACCAACCACATATGCTTCTAAAAACCAGAAGAGACTTGTGTCACTGTTTTGTGTGGATCTATAAGTGAAATTATGGAATTTGGGTTTTGATACAATTGAGACTCTAGGCACTTCTACATCCACTTGAGTCTATGGTCTTGGGGAAGGGAAATTCTTAGATATAACTGTGAGTGTCCTGCTTGACAGGATGTCTCAGGGTTGATGAGTGTGCCCTTGTTACTAGGTTCCTCTTGCCCTGTGTAATAGGAAGACCTGTGGTGGTATCAGGTTGAGATTTAACTCGTTCCCTCCTTAAAACCTTGCCCTTTCTCTTTGCAGATTGGACTGGCTAAGGACGATCAGCTGAAGGTTCATGGGTTTTAAATGCTGTGGCTCTCTGAAGCTTAAGTGAGGATTTCTTTGCAATGAGTAGAATTTCCCTTCTGTCCCTTGTCACAAGTTTTAAAACCTCACAGCTTGTATAATGTAACCATTTGGGGTCCGCTTTTTACTTGGACTAGTGTAACTCCTTCATGCAATAAACTGAAAAGAGCCATGCTGTCTAGTCTTGAAGTCCCTCATTTAAACAGAGGTCAAGCAGTAGGCGCCAATAATGATCTTTCAGCCAAGCCCAGAGCCCCAAGATCACAGAAGGCCATGCCTGGCCAGAAGCTCCTCGCATCTCCCTCTGCACAGTCCCCTGCCATAAGAGGATGTCCTTACTTGAACAGCCCACATGAATCAGGAGAGGATGGGGTAAGGCAACAACAGCAGCTATGCCACTGGAGGGAGTCTCTGATAGTAAAAAGAGCCCCTGGTGTCTAACCTGACAAGGCCAGCAGAATGCAGAAAGGGCCACTTGCCACCAGGGCCATCTTTTTAACCAGATTTCCTAGTTAAGGGACATTCAACAATGTGAGGCCATCCTAATATCAGTTAAACTTCTGACAAGGGAACAAATACCAAACTGATGCCATCAGTCATATAGCTAGCTGTAGAGCTTGCAACCCACTAGCAGCAGCTGCCCAATGCCATGTGAAGGAACAAACTGGTTTTTGGTTTCTTTTCCTTTCCAGTTTAATGTTATGTGATGTATTTAAACCCTTATTTAAATAAAACTTGTTTTCAGAAATACCTGATGTGCAGATTCTACTTCATACTTAGGTTTGTGTATGGAGGAATTAACAAGTGGACTGGGCTAGATTACTTGGCCCTCTGGGTCCACTGTTTCAAGGTTTTAACCAAAACCAAAGTTATCTAATGTTGGAATTTGCTGGGCGTGGTGGTGTGCGGCACTTGGGAGGCAGACAGATCTCAGTGAGTTCCTGGCCAGCTACAAGGAGACCCTGTCTCAAGACAAAGCAAGATGTTGGTATTCTTAGGTGGTTGAGAAACTTCAGTTCCTCAATGGTTTTAGCTTAACAGTCAAAGAAGTGGATTGTGAAAGAGATTCTCTGAACAGCATGATTGGGAGATCATTCTTGAAGAAAGGACATCTAAATCTCGGGTTGGTTGAATCTGCTATGGACAAAGTATTCTCCCAGCATGGGCGTAAAATAAGAGGGCTCTATTGCTGGCCTTCTTGTGTAGGTAATGGGGGGAGGAAACATGGGTGAAGGATAGTGAGGCCCAGTCTAAAACAAGTCCTACAGGGCTGGAGAGATGGCTGAGTGGTTAAGAGCACTGACTGCTCTTGCAGAGGATCCACCAGGTTCAATTCCCAGCACCCACATGGTGGCTGCGAACCGTCCTTAACTCCAGTTCCAGAGGAATCCGAAGCCCTCTTCTGACCTCCGGCATTGCATGACTTGGGTGCACTCACATGCAGGCAATACTCGTACATAAAATACTTTAAAAGTCACATTTAGCTGGGCGTGGTGGTGCACGCCTTTAATCCCAGCACTTGGGAGGGAGAGGCAGGTGGATCTTTGTGAGTTTGAGGCCAGCCTGGTCTACATCGTTCCAGGACAGCTGGGGCTACAGGGAGACCCTGTCTTAAAAAGAGACAAAATTTAAAAATCACATTTAAAAAAAAAAGTCCTACAAAAAAGACCCATTTTGACTCCAAGCATGGTGGCACTATTTGAAACAGCAAAAGGACAAACCTATAGAAGACCACCAGGTGTCAGAGGTGGCTGTCAAGTGACAGCTCCATCTGCTGTGAGATGGTGTGAACTAGTGGCCAGGGCCTGTGCCAGGCAGTTGGCATCTTGAGCTTTATGACCCCTCCATTTCACTAGAACATAATTCTGAGTTGATCTAGCAATGTTGATCTATGAAAGTGACCCAAATTTTGTGTTCATTTTAGTCCACTTGTTACTACCTCCAAGGCTTTCTTTTTTAAAGAATAGGTACCACTGTGCCTGGCTACCCTAGAACTCAGATCCACCTGCCTCTGTCTTCCTGGCTATTTTTAAAAAAGCGGCAGACTCAGCGGGTGAAGGAAATCACCTGATAAACTCAGTCCCCAGGACCTACATAGAACCCCAAAGGTTCTCTGACCTCCACATGCAAGTACCCATACAGTGTTACTTTAAAAAGAATTCTACCCACTAATCGAGGAAACTGGTGGAGTTCCCAAGGTTTCTACATAGAGGGTCCTTTAGGCCCAGCATTCTGTGGGTGTCTGCCAGGTGTTCTGCACATTCACAACTTGGTTCCCCTTACAGAAATGGAGCTCTTGGTCTACAGTGTGCTGTAGTGGAAACACTGCTGTAATGCTAGGTCAGGCCGGTTGTTCACAGAACTGATGTTGGCTGGGGGAAATGTGTTCCCATCCCAGCCAGGAAGGCTTCTTAAAAGAGGTGCTTAGGGAGAACTGCTACAAGTTGCTCTCTGACCATACCATGCCATGGTACAGACCCACCCAGCACCACTAACACAGTAAATTGTAGGTTTTGTTTTTAAAGCTCCCTTGGGAAGCAGTGCATTCTAGGCAGACGAAGTTTATCCCAGAGGGGAAAAGTATCCGGTGGGTCTGGGGAGTCTGGCTGGAATATATAACAGAAATGACACAACATTGCCTCCAGATAGGCCAGACCTGGGCTGAGCTGAGTACTCAGCTGGCCAGGAACTAACTGGTTTACAGTAGAGACTCATTTGCTCTGCTAACAGGTTAGGAAATGCTTCATAGGTAAAGAAAAGGCAGAAGAGGAAGATCCAGCTTGGAAAGGGGGAGGTGCCCAGGAGCTAAGGTGTTGTGTCTTCCAGCCCTCCCCAGATCACCTTCCAACCCCCCAGGCCCCCACACCTGCCCTCTACAGCAGGGACTTGCAGGGGACAAAAGGCTTCTTGCTGCCAAAGTTTCAAGTTCTTAATTCTGTCGAAAAGGCAAAGTGCTTTCCTAGCACTGGAAGAATTGCGCATTTATTTCTAGCCCACTTTTTTGAGACAGGGTCTCCCTGTATCTCACTATGAAGACCAGACTGGCCTCGATCTCTGCCTCCCCAGTGCTGGGACTAAAGGCATACACCACCATGTCTGGCTACTAGCATGCTTCTTAAATGCTCAAAAGGAAAACCAGGCCTGATGACAAACCTCAGTTTTGCAAGAGACTGAGGCAAGGAAGAGTCACAAGTTGAAGACCTGCCTGACCTACAGAGTAAGTTTCCAAAACTGCCTCAGAAATTAAAAGGGATAGCCAGGCCTGATGGCACACACTTTTAGTTCTAGCACTCAGGAGGTAGAGGCAGATCTCTCTGAGACAGTGACTAACCTGATCTTAGTTCCAGGCCATCTGGGGCTCCAGGGAAGCCCTATCTCAAAAAGACCAAAAGAAGGGGCTGGAGAGATGACTCAGCGGTTGAGCGCTGACTGCTCTTGCAGAGGATCCAGGTTCGATTCCCAACACCCACATGGTGGCTGTGAACTCCAGTTCCAGGGGAATCCGAAGCCCTCCTAAACACATGCAGGAAATAATACACTCACACACATAAAATAAAAATAATTAAAAAAAAAAAAAAGACCAAAAGAGCTAGGCAGTGACAGGACTCTTGTCTAGCATGTGTGAAGCCCTAGTTTCCGTCTCTAATAAGAAATAAAAAAGAGCCGGTGTGGTGGCACACGCCTTTAATCCCAGCACTTGGGAGGCAGAGGCAGGTGGATCTTTGTGAGTTCGAGGCCAGCCTGGTCTACATGGTGAGTTCCAGGACAGCTGGGGCTACAAAGAGACCCTGTCTCAAAAAAAAGACTGGGTGTGGTGGTGCACACCTTTAATCCCAGCAGGCAGTTCTCTGTAAGGCCATCTGGGGCTACAGTGAGATCCTGTCTCAAAAAGACCAAAAAAAAAAAAAAAGGAAAGAAATGAAAAAATGAATGGCATCTATAACTGTACAGGAATCCACAGAAAATGGCTAAAACCTAAATTCAAGTTGCTATAAATTCATGAACAGTTAAAAGATGCTATGCAAATTAACCACCTTGTGAATTTACCTGCATCAGTGGTGCCCCCTTGTGGCCTTGTAATAAAATACAGCTTAATATAGCTTATCTATACACAAACCCTTGTCATCAAGAGCTTGTTTTTTTTTTTTTTTTCCATGAGCCCCTGTGTTGCCCAGGCTATCCTTGAATTCCTGGGCTCAAGGGGGGAACTATGGCGAAAACTCGAACAGGAGTGAAACATCAGATTTCGGACAGGAAAAGTAACCCTATATAGTACATTTAAGGTCATTTGCATAGGGAGTGGCCCAGGGTCTGGACCTTGCTGTCTTTATGGGAGAAACCAACCACTAAGATTTGTGTAATGAGGGCTGGAGAGATGGCTCCACGGTTAAGAGCACTGACTGCTCTTTCAGGGGACCTGGGTTTGATTCCCAAACCCACATGGTGGCCGACAGCCATCCGTAACTCCAGTTACAGGGATCCTACACCTTCTGTCCTTGGGCATTACACAACATGAGTGCACTTACATGGAGGCAATACACTCATACATATAAAGATAATTTTAAAAGCTTTGTGTAATGTACTTCTTCATCTTGGGAAGACTACCCATAGATCCGTCAGATTTTAAAAATATTTTTATTTATTACTTTTATGTGTATGAGTGTATTGCCTGCATGTAGATAGTTGCACCCATGTCATTCAATACCAGAGAAGGTCAGAAGAGAGCATAAGATCCCCTGGAACTGGAGTTACAGATAGATTTTAGCTGCCATGTAGGTGCTGGGAACGAAACCCTGGCCACTAAGCCATATCTCCAACCCCTCAGATTTTTTTTTCCTTTTTTGTGTTGGTGATTGAATCTAGGACTTAACAGATACTAGGCAAGGCTTCCACCACTGAGCTACACCCTCAGCCTATTAGAGTCTTAAAAGAGCTCATAGTCTAAAACAGGCATCCTCCATGCTTTCTGTCCATGGTCTACTAAGTGCCCAGGTTAGAGGGTTTCTAGGTTCATCACTGTAAGCAATAACTGCCTGTTGCAGTATCCATCGTTAATAAATACTGCTGGGCATAATAGTACATGCCTAGATTCCTGTCACTTTGGAGACTGAGGCTGAGGCAAGAGGATAAAGAATGACAGGTTTAAGGTCAGCCTGGGCTACATAGTGAGAACCTGTCTCAAAAGGCCTAAAAACTTGGGGCTGGAGAGATGGCTCAGCAATGAAGAGCATTTGCTGTTCTTCCAGAAGACCCAAGTATAGTTCCCAGCACCCACAGGGCAGCTCACAACTCCCTCCACACATGTGGTGCACATGCCTACTCAGGCGCACACACACATACACATAAAATTAAATAAATATATCTTTTAAAAAGAAAAAAAGGCCCCCAAAATAAAGGAAGTCAGAGCAGGGTCAACTCTAGAGAGCTGTGGAGTTTCAGCCAGTTGGTGAGGTTCCCAACACACATTGCTCACTCTTCTCTCTCACTCTCATTCCCTCCCTCCTCTCTCCCCGACCCCTCTTTGTGAGGTGTTTGGAGATTAAATCCACTGAACTATATCCCTACTACTGAGCCACACCCCCAGCATACACTGGGGTTCTTTTTAATTAGTATTATGTTATGTGTGTATGTGTGAGAGCAGACATGTACCATGTATGTACGCTGTGTGCACTTGTGGAGGCAGAGACAGCTTTCCGGAGTCATTTCTCCCTTTCCCCATATGGGACCCAGGGATCAAACTCAGGCCATCA